AATCTCCTCTGAGAAACCGATGTAATGATGCATTGATGAACTTAAGCTGTTGAGAGTCACAGCTCTGATAGGTGAACTGTTCTGGAACTATTTTCAGTGGTGGATTAATCTGTCTTGTTGTTTGCAGCAAGATAATGAATCGCTGATGGATCACAGAGGAAGCATGACTTTAACTGTTAATAACCTCCTCCTCCTCACTGGGACAAAGAACAAGAGGACGTGTCTGCTCTCATTTGCTGTGAAGAGATGGTGATGGACTCCTCATTATCTCAGTTAATTACCTCCTCCTCTTCCTCTTCTGGACCTCTTAGAGACTGGAGAAACAGGCTGAAATTGCCCTGGTCTGGAAAACCCTTTGTGTGCTGGGCCGTGTGTGTGGTAGTGTGTGTGTAAAGGGGCTCGGTGACTGGCAGGTGACATTAACATGTTTAGCTGTAAAATGTCAAACTCTGAATATTTCCTTGGCTTTGTTTGACCTGTCTAGCTACTGTAGGAGGTGGAGCATCTGTCAGGGACAGACTGAAGCAGATGGTTGTGATCAGGATCAGGGAGTGCTTTAATTTCACTAGATCCATATTAAAGACATATCAAGGATTAGTTCAGCATGCCCAAGGATTTGTCCCATACTTATTTTTACTCAGAGTTCTGACCAGGAATAGAGAGGTTTTTGTTCAATAGGACCAGGACTCTGAATCAAATCAGTAGGCTAGGGTTAGCATGTTTAGTTTGTCTGAGATTAACAATCCGTTCTAATCTTGATCTGGCCTTTGGATCAAATCAAATATGGAATAATTAATTAATTGGATTTCCATCAGCTGGTGTTACAGTTCAGGTGTTGTATGAATAGATCTTACTGATTTTCTGATTAAGATGTTCTGTTTGGGTGTGTTCCAGATGTTCTGCAAGGATGTGTTTTAGATGCCCTGTCGTTTCCAGATGTTTTTTTTTAGCATGGTGTGATCCACATGTTCAATCAGAGTCAAAGAGAGATGCTTTTCCAGAATCAGCACAAGATATTTTGTCAGAATTAAACTAAGATATTCAAGAATGTTCTGGCATCACGTGATCCAGATGCTCTAGAATGCTGTGATCCAGATGTTCTAGCATGATGTAATTCAGATGTTCTGTTAAGATGTGATTAACTTTTCTGGCATTATGTGATCCACACGTTCTGGCATGATGTGATCCAGTTGTTCAGATAAAATGTTATCCAAATGTTCTAGCATGATGTGATCCAGATGTTTTGTTAAGATGTGATTCAACTGTTCTGGCATGATGTGATCCAGTTGTTCTTTTAAAATGTTATCCAGATGTTCTAGTATGATTTGATCCAGATGTTCTGTTAAGTTGTGATTATATTTTTATGGCATGATCTGATCCAGATGTTCTGTTAAGATGTGATTCAACTGGTCTGGCATTATGTAATCCAGATGTTTTGTTAAGATGTGATTCAACTGTTCTGGCATGATGTGATCCAGTTGTTCCTTTAAAATGTGATCCAAATGTTCTAGAAAGTTGTGATCCAGATGTTGTAGCATGATCTAATTCAGATGTTCTGTTAAGATGTGATTAAACTGTTCTGGCATGTTGTGATCCAGTAGTTCTGTTAAGATGTGATGCAGATGTTCTAGCATGACATAATTCAGATGTTCTGTTAAGATGTGATGCTTTGTCAGGGTTTGTCTTGAAAAAAGGCTGTCACGTGTTCTAAAGGAAAATCTGACCTTATCTGAGTTGTCAGTGGACAAAACTGAATTTAGATGTTCTGATATAAACAGGATAAGCTTATTTTGGGGCTATATGGAAGCATACCATTTAATTAATCCCACTTGCCACTAAAATGCACATCCTGTTATGTGGATCATAAAACCAATCAGAGAGTTTTAGTGGCTGTTAATTAGCTTCCAGTACAAATGAGCCACAGATGTTAATTAGCAAAAATCTGCCCAACATGTGGTGATAATTAGAGTTACAAGCATAAACACATCCGAAAACACTTGCAAGTTCTTATATGCAGATGAAAATTAATTCAGTTCAATTTTCAATTCAGCTTATTTATATAGCACCAATTCACAACATATCAGGTACTTTATAGAGACAATTCAATCTATTTGTGCAGTCCAATTGGTTAAAAGTTTTCTATCAAAATAAACACAGCTGATTGATTTAATATTAATTCATATAAATGTACAGTAATAATATTAGAATTGTTTGCTAGATATTAAAAAATTGAGGTGTCCATTACTTCTGTATGCTTGCTCTTTTTCTCTGATAGCTGAATGGACCGTCACTGAATCCCATATACTCTAATTGAAACACAAACAGCAATGCACCCTGTAAACACACTGCTGTTCAAGTTTAGCCTAAATATTTCTGGAAAACCTTAGATACAGCAAATTTGGGTCAGTTTGGTTGAAACATGGTTAGTTGAAAAGCTTTTCTTCTTGGCTTTGGATGATCATCTTTATTTGATTGGTGGGAAATTTTGTTCCTGATGTGATGCGAGTTGGAAGACGCATTCTGTACACTTGATTGTTGGTTCTGTTGGATCTTTGGGACATAAAACACCAGTTTGACACATCTGAGCTGGTTTGGACTGGTAAGATAATTAAGCTTGTGAATCTGTAGAAGAACCTGGGAGAAGTTAAAGTGATTTAAATCAGGTGAACACACAGAGAGCTGCACAGAGATCACCCCCCAACTACACACACACCCTCAGACTGTCGGAGTTAATCTGTTCTATGAGGTAGAAAATGTAGTCACAGTGTGAGGACGAATTATCCTGACAGTGAAGTGCTGCCTCACAGTGTGTAGCTCTGTGCGTGAGCTGGTGTGTGTGTCACTGTGTGTGTCACTGTGTGTTTTCAGTGTCAGAATGTGTGCCTTCTGTTCTCCGAGGAGATAAATTTGCAGTCCGTCCTAATTTGCTGCTCGTAAATATCAGCAGTGATAGAGCGAGTGCATGTCAGGAGTGTGTGTATGGGTGTGTTTGTGTGTGTGTCGGGTCGTCCCTCCTTATCACATAACAAATTGAGAGCTTAATCTGTCCTACGTTTAGATTTACGACTCGATTGTTCACTGAGAGGAGATGTTAGGAAGGAGCAGGCAAGGAGGAGGTGAAAGGAGAGCATTCTACATGGTGCCTTTGTTTCTAGAGACAAACTGATAACCAGCTGAGGATGCTGATGGGTTACCATGGTGATAAGATTGATCAGCTGGTCAGAGATTAAACTTAATCTTCAGAAAAACATGAGTTAAGAGGAAAAGATACACCTACCTGCAGGGAAACAAGAACTACACTCATAACATGATGAGGGTCAAACCAAGATAACTTGACTGTCTTACTGTTAATGTATCAGTCAGTAACAACCTGAAACAAACCAGTAACCAGACAGTAACAAACCAATGACCAGTGACCAGTCATACCAACTTAACATCCCACAATTTGGTAACCAGACAATAACAAATAAGTATCCAGTTAATAGGTAGTAAACAACTCATGACAGGGTAGTGAACAGTCTTATACAGGCACAAATATAGGCACTAAAAACCTGTACCAAGTCAGTAATCAGCTAATAGCCAGCCAGTAACCAAGCAATGATCGTTTAGTTACCAGACACTCACAATTTGTAACCTGTGAGTAATCAGTAACCAACAGTAGCAACCAATCGAAGTCATTTAAAATCTAGAAACAACCTGTGACAGGCTAGTAACCAGTCAGTTATCAGGCACTAATAAAGTATAACAAACCAGTAATCAGTGAGTAGTCAACCAGTAACAAGGCAGTAACTGGCCAACCTGTAACAAGTCAGTTATCAGCCTGTAATCATCAAGAAACAATCAATGTAAAGTAAAAATCTTTAACAAGCCAGTATCTAGGCATCAACCAACCTATAAAAAGTCAACAGGTAGTAACAACGTGTGACAGATTAAAGGGCTGGTTATACTCCCAAAGCAGTGTGTCGCAGTGAGCTTGTCTCAGGTATGAAGCAGATATTTTATGCTAAACTTTGAAGCGTGGTCTGCGCTATGTTATTCCATGCCAAAACGCAAGACGGACAATCAGGAACTAGCTGTGGGTATAGATACGGCTGAGGCAGTGAGAAAGTGGAAAAATGCAAGGGGCATCTTCACGAGTCATTTTCCAAAATGGTGGTCATACAAACAAAACCAGTCGGTAAGGCACCAAACAGGAAATACGCATAGTGTCGAGCGGATGTAGACTTGGTCAATCAGATGCCTCCTGTCTGCGGAACTGTCTGCGGTCACCTACAATTTTGAAGACGTGCACCAGAGTGTCTGCGGAAGGGGCGAGGTCATATCTGCACTAACTGCGACACACACACAGACGACGTGGTTTCTGAGCGAAAACCAGCCTTTAGTCACCACTCTGTTACAGGTGACTTACCAGGCATTGAAACCTGTACTGTGGCGACAATTGAACACTAAGCAGACACTAACCAACCAGTGACCATATAGAAACTAAATGGTTAAAACCTGTAACAAGTCAATAACCAGGCTGTATCAGCTAGTAACAGGCTAGTAACCAGTCAATTAAAAGTCAAATATCTGCTAACCAGTACCAAGCCAGTTACCAGACACTAACCAGGTAGTAACTATCTGTTGCTAGTCATATTTGGTGAGCTACCTCTCATTAGGAATTTCTGTAGTCTAGTTTTGGTTTTGTTTTTGTTTTTTATTTTGCACAGTTTTAAGGATGTGGAGATCAATCCCAAGATTGTATAGTTTTTTTTTTTTTTTTCATTTGCTTGAAATTAGTTACAGAAAGCATCAAAGAGCAAACATGTTCAGGATCAGATTCGACTTTTCTCCTGCTATTTTCCATCTGCTGCTATAGAAGCCACCAAAAGAAACATAAGAGGGAATACAATAAGTTAGAAATTATAAGGAACAAAAGGGTTTAGATTGTAATCCCCAAAATTAGCTTCTTTGGTTATTTGCCCACTGCTGAGTCACTTATGGCATGTTTGTGTGTACAGGTTCTTCCTGAAGTTCTTCCTGAAGTGCAACCAAAACTGTCTGAAGAATGCAGGGAACCCTCGAGACATGAGGAGGTTTCAGGTAAGTGTACACAAATCCAAATATATTTCCTTCAAGGCCAAAACACCTGATGCACAGCATGCAGGACAGCAATTTAGTATAAGGTGTATTGTTTTGAATTTTTTTTTCAGCAAGGGGGGCACCAGACTATCAGTCCATCCAAGTATCAAAGTTACATTTTCTGATAATCATAAAGACTACAATAATTGTTATTATTATATTATTGTATAATAATACAGGCAACCAATTTAGTGACACTTTTTACCAGATGAAATAAAACACTTAAACCTTCATCTGGTTTTATAGAAAATGTGACCAGTTTATTCTACAGAACAATGTAAATCAGTTAAAAATCTGGTATTTCGAGACCTTTTATCTGAACAGGAAATGAAAAGTAATCCATCCATCCATCCATCCATCCATCCATCCATCCATCCATCCATCCATCCATCCATCCATCCATCCATCCATCCATCCATCCATCCATCCATCCATCCATCCATCCATCCATCCATCCATCCATCCATCCATCCATCCATCCCACCGATGCAAGATTTTGCATACCGGTTTGCATTGCAGTGAGGCATGACAAAGCAATGTCCCAAAGGCAACAAAGAGAATCATTTTTAAGAGCATGTCCAGATGTAGAGAGGATTACATTAGGCTTTTTTTTTGCAATTTGTTTATTACAAAACAGTCAACTCCCCCTGGTGCACTCTTTTGAGTTTAAAACAGATTTGAACTACATGACTGTTTTTATGTATCAATGTGAGGCAAATGAATGAAAAGCACTGGAGGTTCTCAATGAAAGTCTCATAGAACCTACGCATGATAAGGGAACTGACAACTTTCTCAGAAGGTACATTCTTAGTCATTGGTAGAGTAGGTTTACAAGAACCAACCCTGAGAAATGATACTTCTCGAGTGTTGTGGATCTGTACAACTACCTGCTCCAGACAAAAATACTCCAAACCATCTCAGATATAACTACACTTGTTGAGATGTATCCAGGAGCTGTGGTTGCAGGTTGGATTTAATACACAATCTTGCTCCTGAGAGAGATTCCACTGGTATTTCAGATACAATGTTTCTGATTATGGAGTCTGCTCCTAAGCAGGTGATGTCACTGATTTGGGGAAATTTGTCACAAACATAGACGTTCTGGACTACAGTCCACTAAAGTCCACTATATCACATGTACCATTATCACTATTATATGCAGGTAAGCTACTAAGCATCAAACAGGCAGAGCAGAGAAGAGGATGAATGTGAGGCATAAGAGGTAGTGTCTAAGCATGTAGCGTCTAACACTTCAAGATTACCAAAAAACCCTAAAAAGATTCTCAGTTATCAAGTGCGGCAAAATAAAACAAGCTGTTTTTTGTTATTAGAATAATCTGTTGTCATTGTAGAGAGAAATTTAAAAGTTCAGAAAATCACTAAACATGGATGTCTCCGGTAAAGCACATTCAAATTAAATTACTCTTAATTAAAAACACCTATCATTTATTGAAAAGTATGTAATAATTTCATTCTTAAAGTACTTTCAGAAGTTTGTATTCTGGATGTGACCGGACTTTTCCATTAACACTCAACAATTCAAAATATCAAGGATTATTAGCAGTGGAAGGGTTAAAATCTATTCAGGGCACCAATAGTGGTAAGGAGTGCAGAGTGTCCTACTGTGGACCAGATGCACTTTGTAGAGTTCTAACATCATCTTATCATCCATCATCTTATCATCCATGTTCAGGAACCATGGACCTCTTGATGGTGATGACAACAATGTCTTCTATGGCTTTGCGGTCTAATCGGCTCCTTTGTTTGCAGGTGGTGGTTTCTACAACGGTCAACGTAGACGGCCATGTTCTTGCTGTCTCTGACAACATGTTTGTCCACAACAACTCTAAACATGGCCGCCGGGCCCGGAGACTGGACCCATCTGAGGGTAGGCTGGTTTCACTTTGTCAGGTTTTATACTGACCAATTACAATCAAAGCTCTACTCTGGTTGGTCACAACCAAGCAGGTTAGGTCTGGCTTGAACTAAGCAAGGTATTCTCTAACTGATTAGAATAAAGCAGGTTAAAGTCTATCCGCTGATCAGGACCAGGCAGGTTGTTTCTGTCTGATCAGAATCAGTATGTTATATTTTTGTTTACAGCACCAGTTTGAAAGTTTTCCTATGCTGAGCAGAATATCAATAATAAATGGTTAAGTGTTTGGTTCAGAGTTCTTTGTTGACCCAGACAGGTCCATGACTTGATCCTGACATAGATGTTCAGGTTAAAGGTAAATAAATATGTTTTGGTTGTATTGCAAATGTTTGCATCAACTTCATTCTGACAGCAAGAAAGTGCTCTGAGAGCAGCATAATGTGAAGACACATCAGCCCAGTGGATTGTGGGTAAGAAGACCAGACACTTCCCCATCCCCAGGGAGGACATGGCTTTTGTGTGTATGTGTGCATTTTCATCCTCTTTAATTGCCCTCCTAATTAAAGACAGTCACCATGGAAACCACTCCTCCTGTCTGCACTGCAGTGGAGTCCCGTGGGTCTAACTTGTCTCTACTCGCTCGTTTCATAAAGTCTTGCAGCCAATTGGCTGGGACTTCACTTTCAACCTCGCACAGAACCTCAAATCTTCACAAGTAAAAGTTTCTGAATCCTTAAAAAGAACAAGTTCATTTGGATAACAGAGGATGGTGTTTTCCCAGCCTGACTGCTGTTTTTTTTTCTGTGATGCTGTCATTGTGGAGACCTTGGAGATCCCATTTTGCAAAGAGAAACAGAACCAAAATGGTATGAGGGACTCAAGTTTTTCTTTTAGGCACCTTTCAGACAGCAAAACATTCAACAAGCCTATGTCCCATTTCAACTTAACTTCCACATGGGGGAAAAGGTTTGCATTTGGTTGGCCTGCTGAGACTTGGCTGTGGTTTAGTCTGTCGATAATCAACTTACTCTGCAGCATCTCCTTGTACTTGTCCCAGTGTGGGAAACATTCCTCCCGTTTGGTATTTGTCCTTTAGTCCATCAGCTTTGTGCAATGCATATCTGAAAAAACCCAGAAGGTTAACTTTAAATGGACATTACGGTATGTCCACCAGGAGTATAGTTGTTCCCAGTGGACTTACTCACTCTGAAGCAGTTCTGTATGTTCTGTCCATTAGATAGATATAATTCAGGTCAGGACTGAACTCTTCCTTTTGTGTTGTTTCTCACTTTGATATAAAGTTTCTTTGAAATGACAGAACAGGTTATTTCTCTGCTATATGTGGATCATTAAGGGATCACTTAGGTACTGTAGTACCCACAGTATTCTGCCTGGATCCCATCAGAACAGAACGACAAAAACAATCCAACCACACAACATAAATGTAATAGAATAAAATAGGATAGAATAAAACAGAATAGAATAGAACAGAGAGGTGCTGTAATGTCATTTGAAGTCATCAGTTATGAGATTAGTCCCCCACCCTCCCCTTCTTATGTTCTTTCATTTCACTTTATAATTAATCTGCAGCTGTACTTGAGAGAAGAAAGCGAAGCAGTCAGGGGTTGAGTGTGTATGTGTGTGTGTGTGTGTGTGTGTGTTTTGGGGGTCTGGATTGAACTAAAAAAAAAAGGATAAAACACGACCCAGTTAATAACATTTTTAACACGCCTTGTGTGCTTTTGTCGATCGGAGGTTCGGAGCCAGTGACTCAGGATCAGTTCTGAGGTCATCACTCAGATCAACGCAGCTGAACTTCGGACGATGGTTCACACCTTTTATCTCTTTCGCTTTCAGTCTATTACATTATTTTTCACATATATTTGGATTTAAGTTGATTTTAATGAAGTGTCTGTAGTTTGACTTTACTCTGGATTTTCTATAATCAACATTTGGTCAAAATTTGATATAACCTCAAGATATACAGTACATCAACAGCCTTAATAATATTTGGTTGAATTTTCCTTACTGAGATGGACCTTGAGGAGTCAGCATTATTTGGGTTGAATATTTGACCTCTCTTCTTGGCAGATTTGATAGGGTTCTTTTTTTAAATGGATGGATATCAGTCACAGACGTGGCTTTGAGCTGAGGTTTTTCCAGATGCTCAGGCTACCACAGAGTTTGGCATAATGTCCACAGACATACAGCTCTGACAGTCACTCTCTGGGTCCTTGCGACTTTGCTGAAAACCCTTTTCATCTTGGTGTCAAAAATAAAACATTTACATTTAATGATTTTACTCCAATAACTTTGCTGCTTATTAGCTTGTTGTTTGACCCAGAGAACTTGTTAGGGTCATAATGATTAAACTTTGCACAACCATTCTGAGAGACGTCCCCTTTTAAGTTCATAACATGCGAAAATCTACAAGGTCAAGAAAGCTTGAAAGGGGAAAATCTTGCTAAGAAATTATCTTTGTCCATTGTTCACCTTCCACCTCTTGATTTAAGGTTTAGTTAGGAAAATGCATTTCTATTCTTCGGTGCAGCTCTAAGGTTTCTATGTCGGTCATCCTCCTCTCAGCTTGTGGTTATGTTAAACTGGTTACAATAGTGTTCCAGTAGTTTCCAGTTCTTTATTTCATTTATTAGTATTTAAAGCGGTTCTTTGGTCTTCTATTCTATTCTATTCTATTGGATGCCTCATACCAATGTGTATAGTGTGTTCATCCATTTGATTTGTGGAGAAAAAAACCTCAACTGCAGATGAATCTATGTGGTTTTTAGGCCCCGTCCACACGAAGACGAACCCTGGCCTAAACGCACAAATTTTTCACCAAACCAGCCTCTCATCCACACGAAGCCAGCGTTTCGGGGGTCTGTAAACGATCTTTTTTTTATTCAGCCTTCAGAGTGGGAAGATTTCGAAACGCCGTTTTCGCGTTTCCATCTTTACGCTCTAACCGCATATTTTTTTTTACACGCATGCGTCATAGCGTCGCCTCTACACACGCATGCGCGACCAGTATCACAACAACAATGGCGCCGTTGCTGCTAATGCTACTCACCCTGCTGTCGGGCTTACAACAGAATCTTCTTCTTCTGGAATATCTCCAGGAAGAACTGAGCAATATCGACGACATAGTTCAGCACCTGAATTTGACTTAACCACGAAAATGGACCCGCAGGGCAACCATGTATAAATATTAGTGCGCATGCCCAACATTTCGTCGCTTATTTTTGCTTTGGCACCACAGCGCCACTTACAGGCCTGGCATACATTTTGCAGCGTTTTCATGCATTCGTGTGGACGCTCACATTTATTTTACGTCTCCGTCTTTACGGCAAACGTTTTGGAAAAAATCAGCGTTTCGTGTTCGTTTTGACTTCGTGTGGACGGGGCCTTAGACTATTTGTTCCTTTGGTTTGTCTTTACTAAGTCTTCAGATTCTGACCTGAGCAGCTTGTTTCACACAGTTTGATGTTAACACATCTGTCTCTGCTCCAGCAGCCACTCCCTGTATAAAAGCCATCAGTCCCAGTGAGGGCTGGACGACTGGTGGAGCCACTGTCATCCTCATCGGAGACAACTTCTTTGATGGTCTTCAGGTCGTCTTTGGCACCATGCTGGTGTGGAGTGAGGTAATTCACACTGACCAATCAGATTAACAGTTATTACCGGTCAGACATACCACCATGCTTTATAGTATCAACCCAAAAAGGAAAATGTTTTTTTTAAGTAATTCCTCAGTTTTTGGGACTTTTTCTGTACCACAGATAATCTGATCCTGTGATTCTAGACATTACATTAGGTTGTGTTCATTATTTTGGTCCACCTATTCCTGCATTTCAGGTTGCAACTGTGAAATATTAAGGACATCAGTCAAACTGCAAATAAAATATTGTTTTATCCCAGGATTCTGACAGCAGGGATATGTGACCTTATTTTATTTTTCTAAAGAAATAGGAAACAAAGTGTCTAATATGAAAAACAGTCAGACATTTACAGATTTATCATATTGGTAAATAAAACCAATGGATTAGGAGGAATTTAATGGAGCAACAGCTGATCCCTTTCTAGTCTTAGAGAAACTCAGTGATGGACAATAACACGTGAATGAATCCGATTAATCTGAACAATGATAATTGTAGGAACTTCCGTTCCAATATTGCAGTAACATCCAGCAAAGGTTTTAGAGCAGCATCCAGTACATTCAGGACAACATTTTTTCCAGAGATAATGCAGAATCAAGTTTTCTTCTTTTCTCGGTTCTAGTTGAGGCTTTCGCTACACTTAAACACTCAGGCAAATTTTGTATGAATTGTATACATAGCCTGATGACTCTAATATATCCCATGAATATGTCTCTGTGCTTAGCTGATCACTCCTCATGCCATACGGGTCCAGACTCCACCACGTCACATCCCTGGAGTAGTTGAGGTCACGCTGTCCTATAAATCTAAACAGTTCTGTAAAGGAGCGCCAGGACGCTTTGTCTATACAGGTAACAGATAAACACACTCACACCTACTGACACACACTTCCTTTCCCTCATTTTACAGAGCAGTTTATTTCATCAGTCTGTTGGTTGACTCGGTTTGCAAATGGCACAGTGGCCTTAGCATGAACCTTTAACACTGGAGGTCAGTAAGAAACTAATGTGTTAAACGGATTGAACACTTTTTTTCTGTCAAGATCTTGGTTCAACAGTCTCCTTAAATGATAAGGGTTGAAACACAGACAGTTCTAGAACTACTGACTTCAGCCGTATCAGTTAAACCCTCTGCAGTGGTGGATGGAGATTTTTAATGAATACATTTTTACAGATACTTCAGTTTGACCCAATAGTGCCATAAAGATGTGGGAGAGTTCTGCATCTGTCTCGGGATCTCCTATCACCTGGAAAATGGACAGAAAACTACTGATCGGAAACTAGACCAGGATAAATCCTCAAAACAGGCCTGAATATATAAACCAACTGCTTTCACTCTAGAGGACTAGCAGCTCCATTCCAAGGTGCCCATGAATGTGGAGCTCCTCGCCATGACATAAGGCTTTTCTCAACTACCCCACAAAGAACTGGACCACTGTCACCTGTGGTCCAGTTCTTAGTCATGATCATTATTTAATGACTAATTGTGAGGGCTGGAAAGTAGACATACCAATAAACTGAAAGCTTCTTCTTTGCTAAGTTCTGTCTTAAGTCTGACAGACCAGAGCCAGATCTACTGTGGGCAAGGTTCTAATCTGTCTATCCAGCACCTGCTTAATCCCACCAAAAAAAATAAAAAAATAAAAAAAGCAAAACAAAAAAAACACACACACAAAATAAACGCTTCAGTTTGGGGCATAGACTAAAATCTGACCCAGAAGGGGATATCAAAGTTTGTCCTATCAACAACTATGACCTCATTCATGAATGGCTAACTTTTAATCAGGCTCTTTCAGCTATGAGTGCAAACTTCACCAGCTTGCACTGGAGTTTAAAGAACTCCCAAACCATGTTTTGCAAAATAAACTATATACAGATGCCTTATAGTGATGTCTACATGTCTCGGTCATTATTTTTACAATTTACAGCACATTCTCTGAAATCCTGATTACAGAAGCCGCTATTCATAATGGCCCTTCCCAGTCAAACGCCAGCTGAATTGCAGCCCACTTCCCTGCAACTCCCAGCAAAATCCCCTCCAACTTCCAGTCACTGGAATGATCGCCTCCTCCTCCTGGGAGTGTGTATTTTTTTTTAACTCTGACTCAACACTTTCATTGAATTACAGGGTCTGACCAGGATATGACCCTTCTCTTTAGATCTTAATGTCCACAAATCATGACAGAAAGAATATTTTAGTACAAAGTTTTATTTTTAAAAAGGGAATGTGGGGGACCCACCAAGGGCCCATCAAGGAAAGTGGGGACATTTTGAATGGCTACTACTGTATATGTCTGAAGCTGTCTGTGTGGCGCACTCCTCACATTTGAGGAGTGTTCTGCATTTGATGTGTAAACCAGTATTGCTCCATATGATTGGAGAACCATACCTGCATGACCCTCTTAGCAAATCTGCAAATGACAGTCATGGGCTGAGAAACTGAATAATTTGATACTTTTCTTAAAGACTGGTTAGTGATACCACCAATGCTTTTCCAGCCCTTAATATGACATAGAAGAGTCATGTGAACAACAGCAGCTCAACAATGCAAATTTTCTTTTTGTTGGAGAACTTTGTAACTACCTCATTGACCTTTGCCATGAGGATAGACTCACCACTCCCTGAATCCTCAGACTATGGCCATCCTTAGTAGGACAAGCTGAGTGGCTTGAGGAAATCCCTTCTTAGTCAAATCTCTCATCTCACCTCAAAGCTATACAGAGCAAGTGGTGTCCAAAGCTTTCCTTTTCTGAGTTGCTAAACAGTTTTCCTAAGTCTATCTAAGGCCAACAGAAAGTTCTTCAACACAGCCGTTCTGAATCCCTTCCATGCTTGAGGTTCAGTTCCGCAACTTTTTTGGGAGTGTGTTTGGCATTCTCCCGTGTTATGAGCTTATTTCTGCTAACATATTTAACAAAGCTAAGTTTACATGATGATGCAATATAATGTCGGTGCTGATGCTTTCCTGGGCTGCAGTGTATTGAGTTCTATCAGGGATTCAAACTGAGGTGCATAGTAAGATGATGAACAAAGCTTGTCCCATCAGTACCATCTAGCATTAGGAAATTAGCCCATCACAAGATACTCCTTCCTTCAGGACCTGTTTGTATTCAGGGGCTTATAGATTCAGAGCCCTAATTTCAAGCTAGAAACCCAGAAACTTTACTGTAGCTTTTTTCATGATAGATCTTCTTTTAAACAAATCTTATTGAAAGCAGATAGCTTAACGTTTCCCTCTCAGGCACTTAAGAGTCCTGCAGGAGATCCCAAACAACTTAAAATAGGTGTTTCACTGAACCTAAATGTTCAGTGAGAATTTTTCAAAGCCGACTAGACCAAGCAGATCAGGTTTCATCAGCGAGCAGGCGGCAGCAGGTTAGACAGAAACACAGCAGATAACAAAGTGAACAACATCAACAAGGTCACAGGAGTTGCAGATAACACAGACATCAGGAGAGCTAACACACTCTATAACTGCTGCTGGTTCCGCCCTGTGGGCCTTCAAGGACTGAGCACACACACACACACAAGACACAGTGTGATGATGTATAGGACAGTCAGTCTAAAGCTTGTTAAATGCAGCTGAACCAAGACGGGATTATGATTCATGTATTCAACACACACATGTGCACACTTAAAGCTGCGCTCTGCTGAATTCACTGATGCTCTGATTTATCACCTCCCAGCCAGCTTAAGCCTTAAAGGATGTTTCAGGAGGAGCAGAAAATAAAAATAAAAGGCCCGTCCAGTCTCAGCTATCTGCAGAAGTTGCAGAAGTGTACATGAGTCACTGTAGAGTCCGTGACTCACAGCCATTAGCTCAAGTTACATCAAAATATGAGAGTTACAGCCACGCGCTGAATGAATCTTTAATCTGTATTTATCACAGCCATGTGCATAAGTGGGAGCAATGTGTACAAGTCACAAAGATTGGCACAAGTCACAGCAGTGGTCAATAGTCAGAAAAGACAAGCACAAGACACAGTGATGTATAAAAGTCACAGATTTATTTACAGGGAAATTTGAAGGTGTTTAATTCACAGCCATATGCAAAAGTCACTGCTATATTATAAGCACAATTTAGAAGAAGCAGTGTCCATGAGTCAAATTCTTGCACAAGATTCACATCTGCTTTATGTGCACAAGTAAAATGCACTTGTCATCTTCATATCTCATTAGAGTTATTGTATCTGTTACTATAATTTTTGTTTATCTATTTTTCATGTACACAGACATAGCAACTGAAAAAATCCTAGCAGAAACCATTATGGTTGTCATAGATCTCAACAGGGTGATAGATTGTCCTTGTTTTCTTGGCCACAATCCTCCTGCGACTTTTATACAAGTTTCAGTACTGATAAATGTTACAGCTAGGACTGGGTTCTTTAAAGTCCTTGTTATTTCTCTCTGGCTGAATGGACGTAAGGGAATTTAGTAGTAAAATTCGGAGTACAGTGAGCATGTTATGAGATGTTTCTGAGAACCCAATATTCATTCAGACACGTCACACTTAAAAGGTTTGTGAGGCTTAAGTTATAGGCAAGCAGGCTTGAGAAGGGACCAGGCATAAAAAGGCAGATGGCAACTGAACCATCAAGTGAGAGGCTGAACAGGCTGAGGGCAGGATCGTGAATTCAGATGACCGTGGAAGGTGTCAAGAATCAGGGGCCGATTAAAAATCAGGCAAGGGCAGGGCGAGAACAGGAAGAAAGGAAGTGAACACAATCAGTGGAACAAACCTCATACTGTCAGAGAGACAATCTGGTGGAGCTTGACTGAGAGGGGTGAGTATTAATCCTCCTGGAAGAGTGGCAGCTTAGAGATGAGGGTGATTAGGAGAGAGGCAGTTGCATCTGCTTACTCTATTTAACAGAGTGGAGCCGAGCAGAGAGTGGCAAGCAGCAAGCAAGCCCAAAAACAACCAAACAGAGGCAGGCTGCATGACAGAGCACACAAGAAACTTGACATTGTACCAAAGTATATTTGATCTGTGTGTTATAGTATGTCATGGTATAGTCAAGTAAGATAGATAAAACTGCACGATTTAATAGGCCCGTTAGTCAGAAGTGCTCTGTGCTTTAACTAATCCTCTCCGTACACTGTGAACTGTAGAACTGAGTAGTCTCCCTCTCTCTGCTCCTTCGCAGCACTCAATGAGCCCACCATCGATTATGGCTTCCAGAGGTTACAGAAGGTCATCCCTCGTCACCCCGGAGATCCTGAGAGGCTACCCAAGGTACCACACAGACACATGAAGCACAGAAACTCTAGGAACAACAACAGAGAGACAATCTAGAGCCAGGCTGGGTCCGTGTGTTCTTTCCATCAGCGTGCGTTCTAGTTGGCTGCTCAAAGTCTGATAATCATCTACTGACTGCTCTGTTTAACTTGTGTGTCTGTGATGAACACAATCATACACAGTCAGTGCTGAGCTACAGTTTTGGATGGTTACAGCTAAAAATCTTAAATAAGGAATACTGCAGAGCCAGTCCCTGGACCAGCAGCTTTTAGACCCTGGAGCAGATCAGGAGTTTCTATGTGTGATAGTGTGAGTGAGTTATCAGCCTGGAGGTGTGTGAATGTACTTCCAGCTCTTTTTTTAATGAACATGTGAGCATGAAGACGTGCAGCAGCTCAAAGAAGATTTTTGCCTTGCACTTTGTTTCTCCAGCTGCCTTGATGTGAGCTGACATGCTGTTAGCTCTGTAATGAAAACCACATCCCACCACGTCTTCAATAATTCATCTGCAGTGGTTTTATACTGTTACCCGCACTGTCTGGTACTCGCTGAAGAGTTCAGCTACTTGAGACTGAGAAATCTCTGCTGACTTGAAATAATACCGAATATTTACGGGTTTTTTTTAACCTGAGGACCACCTCTTGAAGCAGAACCAGACCAGAAGACGGTTTAACTTAAGGGCTCAGAAAAAAACTAAAACAGGACCATGATTTTCACACAGCAGGAAACATCTTCAAATTCTTCATTGACAGGGTGTGTGGGTAGGGGCGTGTGTGTTTGTGTGTTTATGAAGGGGTGGGGGGTTAAGCCCATTGGTAAACAGGAAGGTTGAAACAGTCAAATCAGGTAATCACTGAGTGCAGCCATGTGGCAAGAAAAGAGATTGGCACACACACGATTATCTGCTGTCATCTTATCTGATTTCTATAAAAACTAACATCTGTGTGTTTCTGCTGCATTCCTGTCCTCCATAAATATCCAACTAACCCATCTCCAGCCTGCGTCTCTGACCCCAGACAGATGAACTGCGTGAGCAAAAGGTCCCATCCACTTCTGAAGAAAAATAAATCAGACTAAGAATAACCTGAAGGGAATAAAAAAGTAAATTACCGAACAGTTAGAACCCTTGTTCTAATTGAAAATTAGGTGATTGTATTGTCCAAACATCAGTGATCTAATAGATTTTGAGGTAAAGGAAGAAAAGTGATGCCTAAATTCAGTTTCTGAGCTGAAAACAAATATCTAGGTTTAGATGAATTAAAGCGTTGGGGTCAGGGTTTTCTCTGCCTTCTTCTGGTCTTGAACGTTCAGAATCCAGCCAACATCTGAGGTCCTGGTGGAAACATCAGGAGCAGCCCTTAAGAACATCCATGTGGTCTTCAACAAGAGTTCATTGTTCCTTAAAAGAAAAGTCAGACTGGGTGTGCTGTTCCTCTAGGACAGGACAGAGTCAAACGCAGAGCTGAGGTCATATTGGGTTTTCTAACTTCAGTCATTCACAGACTTCTTTACCCTGAGTTTGGTTCCACAAAAGTTTTTTTCATGGTGCCAGAAATTCTTGTACTACTTCCTGAGAAGATGTAACATTTGAGTTCTCAGTAGCGATCAGAACCAGGCTTTTCCTGCATAGTTTCTGGAACAGCTGCTTATGAGCCACATGTTTCTAGAAACAGGTGGTTCTGAATATTATATGGCTGCTTCCAATGGAATAGACGTCTTGGATAAGATGGTTCTGTATCCCATTAGATAAACCTTCTAAGAACACACTGCTATTTGAAAGAAGGGAACTGGAAAATATGGTTTCAGATGATAAAGTTCAGGAAAATTTAGCTTGAATGATATTTCTTGAATGTGCCTCTGGATAAAGGGTCCAAAGCCTGTCACTGATTGGACTTTTGGAAGAGAGTCAATGTGCAGAAAGGTGTAGGGCTGGGTACCGAACATCGGTTCTTTTATGGTACCGACCAAAATGCTTTCGGTTCTACAGAATATCGAAACATGCCTTGTCTTTCGGTGCCAAGTTTCGGGGATTGGCTGTAACACTAAACGTGATTGCGTCATCCAGGAGAAATACATAGGTGGTCACGCCTACAGCCAGGGTTCATGTGTATCTGTTGTGAACTGGTTGCGAGGATAGTGGAACCCCTTTAAAATGCCCCCCATGTCAAAAGTGTGGCTTCACTTTATTAAGACTGATGCCAATAGTGCGCAATGCAATACATTGTGCACAGAAACAATTTAAGAGCAGAAAGTTGATCGGTGTTTGACTGCAAGAACAGCGGACCGCAGCCAGCGCGACCATCCTCCTCTCAGCAGCCCGTTGGCAGTGCAAAGCCAGAGCGGAGTGAATCATGCTGCTTTCACACCGGACGCAGCAGGAGCAGCAAAATCGCGTCTGCTGCTTCGTTTTTGCTGCTTGTACCAGTTTCTGACGCGCGGCTGAAGCAGCTTTGCTGCTCTGGCTGCACGGTCGAAAAGTGGCTCTGACGCCCGTTGGGCGGAGCTACTCTATCCTTTATTTGCCTGGCAGCTATATTTGCTGTGATCAGTGGGGATAAAGTAATTTATTATGTTTTTAGGTTGGAAAATCCCCCTGAAAACTTAATCAGTGCAGTCAGTTCATCCAGATTACCATCCTGCCTTCTAATATTATTTCTGTCGGAGCCGCTCAGACCCCACATACCAGCGGTGCGCTGTCAGTAGGATCCCATTCAACAGGCTTGTTTGTCTCCTGAGAAAGCAGACATGGTAATTTTTCTAAACAAAAACTGCTAAGTAAAAAGGTCCTCACAATGTAACAGTGAATATTAGACACTGACTTGTTCGCAACTGTTCTTCACTGAAAAACATTTTTTTATGTGAGAGGAAAAATGTAAATGGAAAAATCAGAGCTTAAAATAAAACTCAAGATTTATACTTTATTATGTTGTGTAATTTTCTTTTTCTTCAAATTGATATTACAAAACTGGTATCGAAAAAAGTATCGCTCAGAAAACGGTATCGAAGTGAAGGTATCGGTATTGGTACCGGCACCGAAAATTTTCGAACGATACCCAGCCCTAGAAAGGTGATGCAGATACAAATATTGTTGAACATATGATATTTGAAGATTGAGTTCTGTTTCAGATTACATTAAAACAGATGGTTCTGAAACACTTGGTTTTGGATCAGAGAGTCTGGTTGATGGTTCTGGATATGGTGATAATGAAACCAATGCTTTTGACAAAAAAAAGGGAATCTGATGGCATTGGAGCATGTAGTTGTAAGAACTACAGGTGGTTCTGGAGCATGTTCTGGAGCAGAACTAGACAAGACAATTCTGAATTATATTTCTGGAACATAATGTGGAGCAGAAGTTGGTGGAACTAATTGTTCTGGAGGCAGGGACATCACTGTGAAACCAGTTGGGTTTTAAACTTGAAGATGGGGCTGCTGTGGTTTAAGGTGAACTTGATTCAAAACAGAAGTTTTAGCTACTTGACTGGTTATTGTTTGATTAATTTAGACTTTTATTGTGATTTGATTATTTCTCCTGTTAGGTTGACTGGAGTTTATTCCCTTCTGCTTAAACTAAAGGATCTGTGTGTGTGTATGTATGTGTGTGTGTTAGATGAATAATTGGATTTCTCCTCAGTGATGACAAGCTATAAGCTTTATCTCTGTGCTAGTCCTGGTAATGTGTGTGTGAGAGATGCTTGTCATCTCGCAGCATAACTATGAAACACTTGTAATAATAAGGCCTCCATTTGTCTCCATAAACACTGCCTCTGGGTGCGTGTGTGTTGGTGGGATGAAGATAAAGCTCTTCCCTCGCTGCGATACTTGAACATCTCTGCATAAACGAGCAGATGAGAGACAATCTGAAGCTGAGGGCTTCTTCACAGGAAACCACTTTCTTCTCTGTGTGTGATACGCCTCCCTCCCTTCCCTCCAACACACCTGATCACACTCACTCAATCAGCCTGAGCTTTCAAACAGTTCTTTTTTATCCAAGGAACAATAGGAACATCTAACAATATCAAAGTGAGGTGCCCAAAGTGAGGGATGAAATTGAACAAAAAGAAAAGAATGGACAAAAACAGAATAAGGAGGACAAAGACAGAGGAAAGGAAAATAGTACAACGAAAGAATGATATGGATGGATGGATGGATGGATGGATGGATGGATGGATGGATGGATGGATGGATGGATGGATGGATGGATGGATGGATGGATGGAGGGATGGGTGGGTGGGTGGGTTGGGGGGGTTAATTGAAAAACCTCTTGAAGGAGTTTGTAATGAAAAGCAGCGGATTAGCTTGGAGAGTGTTTAATTAAGATAAAGACTAAATGAAGCATTGTTCTCCTGCTGCCTGATTACTCGCTCTAAACCCCCCCAAACACACTTACACATACACATCCACACACACACACTTGCTAACAGAGTGGGTCAGATATGTGCTCTCCAGGAACTCGTTAAAGTGAAGTGGATCAGCTTCAGAAACACGCTGAGTCTATGTCAGACAATGTGTTGCAATGTGTGGCCTTAAACCTGAAGCCCTGTTTGAACTTGTTGATCAGCTAAAAAGTAAACAACAAGGAGTAATGTCGAGTAAAAGCTGATGTTTTATTAATAAAAATTCTAATTTAGACCATTCCTCATCATATCCCTTAGTATAGATGATCCTCGAGGCTTCTCTTGTCCATCAGGTCCCTGTACAAGTGGGGCAAAACTTTGGTCCACATTGCCAACATTAAGTCAGACCTGTTACTGGTGCATGTTGAGTTGAGGCAGGACTGTCCTCTTTCAATGGTTCTATTTCTAGGCACAGCTAAAGGCTGCAGTTGTTCTGGTTTTGGCCCATTGGCTTTCCTCCAGCTCTTAGGAAAGCCAATGCTGGGGGAGGTCTGAGGCCATGGTTCTCGACTGGACAAAGGTGGCTTTTCGCCTTCAGATGCAAAGGAAAGTTCCTGCCTCAACTAGAGGAGTTAAAGTGTCTTGGAGTCCTGTTCATGGATGAGAAGATAATACCACGGTAGATTGATAGACTTATTAATGCAGCTGCTGCTATGATATGGTTTTCACTGGTCTGTAGTGAAGCGAGAGCTAAACAAAAAGGCAAAGCTCTCGATTCACCGGTCAGTCTATGTTCCTACCCTCAACCATCGTCCTGAAGTCTGATCATGTATGACAGAACAAGATCTTGGATACAAGCGGCTGCTTCTCCTCCACATCGAGAGGAGTCAACTGAGGTGGCTTAGACAACCTTTTTGTCCTGGAACCCTCTTTGGGGAGGGGTTCAGGGCATGTCCCATTGAGAGGAAGCCCAGGACAGCTGCAGGGAATGTAGCACTCGGATGGCCTGGAAGCACTTTGGGCTTCCCTCAGCGAGCTGGAGAAGGTGCCTGGGGAGAGGGAAGTTTGGGAGTCTCTGCTGAGACTGCTGCCCCGACGACCCAGTAATAGGATGACGAAGAGTATGACATTGAATATGAGCGAGAATGCCGACTCTGTCACATCTTTGAAGTGGTTAAAATTTTCTGCTCTAACTGATATTGTTTTGTTTACGGAGTACAAACCACAACCTTTCCTTGTCACCTATGATGTCTTTCCAAAGCACTCTGTTCTTTTTCATCTATCAACTTCTGTGTTGCCAATTTTTAAGCAATCTTGGAACTATATTTTACTGCTGTCCAAATGACACCCAACCTTTTCTTCTACCATCCATCTACCATCTATTTTTCCCATAAAAGTGCCAGTTATTTCTTTACTTTTATTTAAGTTTTTTTTTTTTTCTTATTGCTTAAATTTTTGTTGTGGTCGCTGTCTTTGGTAGACTTGAAATACCTCCTCCAATAAAATCTATTATTATCAATTTTATTTTTTTCATAAGCCTGAAACCTAATATAACAAAAATGATAATCTGCTTCCCAATAAGCAGTTAACTTTAATCCACCCCCCTTTTCTTACAGGAGGTGCTGTTGAAGAGAGCTGCTGACCTGGTGGAGGCACTTTATGGGATGCCTCACAACAACCAGGTAAGCTTTAGACCTTTACATTCACTTAAGCTGGTCAGGTTCACTGCAAAAACTGAAGCTGCAGAAATTAGTTCAGATTGGGAATTATCTCTTTGGTTTTGGATCTTCAATAAATTGACTACAGTATGAAGCCTCGTAAAGATGTCAATTAATAACACCCATAATTCATGAAAATATTAGAGATTATTTGGGTACCATGGATTGTTTATTTATGCTTAATTAGGTTTCTTTTAACTGTCAACCCCGCTTTTTTCTACATCAGAATTATGTCCACTGACCTGTGCTGAAAACGTATAGTGTGGGGCCAATGTATAGGTCTGTTCTGAAATGGACCCCATTCTGCACATAGATCCAAAAGCAATCATCTAAGGGGATTGATCAGCTGATAAAGCAGTCATCATTCTGGGTCAAGAAACTGTGGTAATCCGTGATAATGCTAAAAATAGTTACAGCATCTATCATGCACAATTACTCTGGTGCAGAGCTTCTCAAGAATAGGCTCTTGAGCAATACACTGCTATCTAGTGGCCGGGAGATAAAGCGTTAAAACGAAGACAATGAAATAGATGTTTGCCTACAAATATTTTTTACTTTAAGATCCATCCCGCCATATTGTAAATCAATACTAATACTGTCAAATCAATATATATATTTTTTACACTACTATTAGTTACTACATGTCTAAACTCATGGACTGAAAGTAAACTCTGATCTAAGATAAGATAAGATAGACTTTATTGATCTCATAGTGGAAATATTCACTTGTCACATCGGTTCAATGGTCAAAAGAAGGTGCTAAAAGAAGGAAAAGGTGCATAGGGTATATACAGTGCGTTCACATATATACAGTGGATGGAGAGAAAAAAAGAAATAAGGCAGAGATCTGGGGTTTAACTTTGAATGGTATGGTCCACAAGCCTCCTTGACAGTCTGGTGTCCCTACAGGAAATCATCCTTAAACGAGCTGCAGATATAGCTGAAGCTCTCTACAGTGTCCCAAGGAACCACAACCAGATCCCCTCCTTAGGAAACTCTGCTTCACATGGAATGATGGGAGTAAACTCCTTCAGCGGACAGGTGGCAGTAAACGTCTCTGAGACGACACAAGGTACAAGAAGAAATACCAATTCTTTACCAAAGTAACTTGGTGAGCAACGGTCCATTTGAGGATCTGTTCTGATCCTTAAATCATCACAAACATGCAGGTGTTTTAATGTTATCAGCTGGTAGGGAAAATGTTGAAGAATCTAAAACCTGATAAGTTCTCCTAGGAGGTTTTTTTTTTTTTTGGTTCCAGGTCCAGCAGCCATTCAGCTAACCCTCTGGGACCAGGGTTTCCTTTCCAAATTCTGTCATATGACCAGCAATCTTTTCTTCTTTTAGTCGGCTACAATCGAAACACAAGCAGCGTGTCACCACGTGGGTATGTCCCAAGCTCCACCCCCCAGCAAAGTAACTATGGCAACACTGTCAGTAGCAGCATGAATGGTTATGGCAATGCTGGCATGCCCAACCTGGGTGTGGCAACGTCTCCGGGTTTTCTGAATGGTTCGTCAGCCAACTCGCCCTACGGCAGTAAGTATCAAGGTAAATATCAGAAACGCCTCAGCTGCTAAAATAGCTACAACCATACCAGTAGTACTGCTGCTGTTAGTACTACTGATGTTGTGAACTGGTGAAATTGGTGTTTAACTATTTTGAGTATGTGTCTTCCAGTTGTTCCCTCCAGTCCCACCATGGCCGTGTCTAACTGTAACTCTTCTCATGGAGTTTTCTCCTTCTCGGCTGCCGTCAAACAAAAGAGCGCCTTTGCTCCCGTTGTTCGACCATCGGCCTCACCTCCTCCTCCTCCCAACTGTTCAGGCGGCAACGCCAATGGGCTACAAGGTGAGGCCCCGCCTCCTTTACCCTTCCTCCATTCTACCCCCCCGTTCCCTCAGCTTTACTCTCTTCCACCTGCAGGTTTTTAAAGCAACTCTTTTGGTTCCTTGTTTATTTGTTGCCTTTAATTCATTTTAAACAGGATGAAAAGAACATTTTCCCAAACTGATGGATAAAATAGGTTATTTTTGGTATTATGCTCTATTTTTGAAAACCGATTATTTCCAAGAAAAGTCTGGATGACTTTAAACAACTGATGAAATTAGCATATTTTCAACCCAATCTTTGATTTTCAACAAAGCAGTCATTTCTGATTCAGCATAACCAGGGAAATAAAAAGCTTTTGACCTTACGTAGAGAATACTTTCTGAAATGTTGTATGCTCTGCTTTTGTTCTGAATGAATCAAAGATCTGTGATGGTTTCCTCTGTAAACAGTCTGTGGTTGAGATGAGTCCTGTAAGAGCTACATGAGAGTGACAGGCCCACCCATGTTTTATTCACTAGGAGTCACAGATACATCGTTTGAACACACTGAACACACACACACATTGAACAGACAGTGTTCAGTCAGTGTGTGATGTCAGTAGTTCTGACAGAGAGGTTTGTCCACTCTTAAATATTCATGCTGCTCTCAGCTTCCACAAAGGCCACAGAGTCTGTTCAGTGTGTGTGTGGATCCATGTGCAGCTGTGCAGCATCAGCTCTCTGAATGAAGCCAGCTTAAATAGTAGTGATAACTACAGCACAAGGGAAATTTATTGCAATTATTTGTTTGCTGTAGAAATATGAGTTGAAATTGATTGGAGCTGCAAGAGTAACAGCAAACAAAAGAGCTGTAGCACTGAGGGAAGGTGGGCATAATATCATGGGGGGCTGATAATAAGGAATAAATGTTGTTAATCTTTAACTGTTGCCTTTCTGATGAGTAAGCAAGACTGAGATGTTTGTTTTTCTTCTTCTTCCTCTGCAGCCATGTCAGGCCTCGTAGTTCCTCCTATGTAGAAAACGTCTCTCCTTCTTCACCTCCGTCCTTCCCTTCAGCCCCAAGCAACAATGACCTCAGAGGCGAGGGGGGGGACATGTGGTCTCTAGAGGCAGGTCCTCAGGCAGCTGCTGACCAACCAGAGAGTTTATCGGGTCTGTGATTTGACCTAGAAGTTTAAGAAAAGGACTTCTTGTACAGCAGTTTTCTGCAGGTGCATCACCTTCTCTTCTGGTTCTAATGTCTAGTCTCTGTTTGTATAAATCTGCAATTTCACACCTGGGACAGGAAATTACTTCCTGTAAAAAAGCAAAAAGCTCAAAGATTAAGAGAAAAACCTGCTGATTTTATCTTACGTTACCAGGTGTTACCTGTGTGATGCCACAGAGTGCTGGTAAAGGAAACATTGACAGATATCATTCTGAAGTCTCACAGAGCCCATCCTGATTTCCATTTCTTTTAGCTTTTTCAGGAAGAAATTTTAACAGTTTTTATGATCACCTGGTTGTGAACAAATGGGTCATGCACAGTTGTCAAATAAAAACAGAAACATATGATTTACTTATTGCTTTCTATTTTAACTTAAACTCAAAGTTGTTAAAGCACAGTTGAAATACAATGCATAAGCCACACCCTCTAATCATTTTAGCTTAGCCAACCCTCTGTCCGGTTTTTAATGCTTACACTGTAAAGATGAACCCTTTCTAAAGCGTTATTGTAGCCATTTTTCTTCATGTCTGGTCTCGGCCTAAGCCCCTCCTATTGTTCCACACCCAATCACTTAAGCCCCGCCCTGTGTCTTTGTGTGGGTTTTGTGAATTTTGCCAAAATTGTAGCTAACTGAATACTTCTTTGTCACTACTGTGATTGATGACACACCCCCTCTTTCACTGTGGTGACCTGTTTTTGTATCATACAAAATCTAAATATTTATATCTATATGATTTTTCGTATTGATGGATGTTGTCATATGGTCTCCAGACATGTGTGTGCATGTGTTGTTGCCACACCCACCAACAGCCATTGTTTTATATCACGTATTTATATCTGTCGATCCAGGCGGCTGTCCAATCAGCAGCTCCTGTCTGTTTTTAATGTGAACCATGTTGTAACTTCTCCACAGTGAATAAACTCAGCAGGTCGCTCTGATGGACTCTGTTGCCTTTTTTACTGCCTCACTATGTCAATCTGATAGGATTTGTCTTATCCTGTAAAAGCAAAGGTGTGGAGAGCCTGGTTGGATCTATCTGGTGGGTTAAGAGAAGACTGTATTTAAGCTTTAACCTCTCAAAACTGTTTTAAAGGGTTTAAAAGTAATAACTCAGAATGTATAAAAATTATACCGGTAAAATGTTTACCAATAAAGACATGTAAGACATCATTGGAAAGCTTATATTATCCACAATTCAACCACCAAGTTCATTTTATGGACACAGAGAGCACCAAAGCACAATTAACACAGATATAACGGCACGTCAAAGGGTAAACATGACAAAGCAGCCACAACAAGCAAGAATGTCTTTATTACTGCTGTTCTAAAATTTCGAGAATAAAAATATGTTTGAACTGATGCAGCTTGGGCTGTGTTTTCCTCACCCAATTTTCACGTATATATTCCGAAACGAAAAGGTGTTAGCTTACAAATAATGTATCACACTTAATTTGGGCTTACAGTTTCTAAGTTATTTACTTTTCCATTTGGGTATGCAGAATAGATGAGAATTTCCCAAAATGAGGTGGATGTTAATGGAATTTTCCTTGCCAGGGATCAAGGGTTTTATATGGAGGATCTAAAGTGGGTCCAGAATATGTAGAAAGCTCGTCTTTTGGCAGTGTCCTTGAAGGATATCAGCCTACAGTATGAAAACACTTTTACCAGTCAAGCATCATTATTCAATAGGCTATCCATGTTTTCATGGCTGTGAGACAAAACATAATCATCCACTCTCTGTGACATCGCTGAAAAACAATAAGTTATTTTCTTTGAGGTTTACCGCACTGATCTCTATGTATTCACTGGATAGCCAATTGGCCGTTGTAGGTACATGTTGCTGTAAAATCACAAGCCGCCACATTTGTACTCCCTTGTTAGACTGGTTGGAATGTAAACAACACGTGCACTACAGTATCGAATAACAAGAATTTTCTCATTTTCAGTCGGGCTTAAGACTTTTAAAATATAGATAGATTCGTCATTTTGACACACATTTGCTGCTTCATAGCATTTGTAGATTACTGTCAATTATGGTAAAAAAATATGCACATCATATTTCATATTCAGTATGACATCTATAAATAATGTGATATAACATATTATGCTCAACAAAATGTGTGTGTTAATGAAGCATAATAATACTGTACTTAGATATTAAGAATATTACACACACCCCACACACACACCATTTGATGATGTGCCATAAGTGCTAAATTGATGTACATGTATTATACATGAGTTAGATTAAGACATAGACCTGGACAACTTATATTGTCATTTTGTATACACAGAGTGCACAGAAAACAAAATTTTGTTTTTGTACAGCTTTCAGAAAGTGCAGCCATGATCAAATGTAAACAGCGTGGGAGAAAAAAAATACCATGGTGCAAAATGCATTGATATGGAAGTTCAGAACATTTTAACACACACACATATATATATATATATATATATATATATATATATTAGTGTTGCACCGATACCGATACCAGTATCGGACGGGGCCCCGATACTGCCCTAAAATGGTGGTATCGGTATCGGCGAGTACCAACAAATAGGGCACCGATACCATTTTGAGAGCCATAAGTTTATTCAACTATTGTCACCCATTCCAGGTAGGCAATAAAAAGTTCTACTGGATTCACTTTGTATTAGGGTTGTCACGATACTAAACTTTTCAACTCGATACCGATACTAAGGAAAATATTCGATACTCGATACTATTTTCGATACCACGAGGATAAAAACAGAAATATTTTCATTGATAAATAAAATACAATAAATAAATACAATGGTTGTATGCTGTGCACAATATTAAGCAAGCTTGATAAAAAAAACTTATAAAATTAAAATTAAGTGTTCCTTCCTTGGCTATGCTTTGCACACTTAACAATGACACTAGCCAAACCAGTTAAGAAACAAAAATAATTCTCAGCAGCTTCACCTCTTACAAAAAAAGTCTGAAACTGAAAAGTGCACAGAATTATTCAATCATACAGTGTTCTGAAAGTGCATTGTCCTCTATTCTGCACTTTAGATGAATGACTGCTTAGGTGCCACTGGTGGTGGCACTGTATCGATACTTTTAAAAACGAGTATTGTATCCGGATACAACATTTTAGTATCGATACTTTTTTGAGTTTCGATACTTTTGACAACCCTACTTTGTATTATTTTTTCCTGCTTCACAAAGGTAGGCAGCAGCTTGACAAAGCCATGATGGCAATTATTTTACATTATTATGGTATCGGTATCGGCCGATACTGCACAGCCAGGTATCGGGTATCGTATCGGGGCCAAAAAATGGCATTGGCGCAACACTAATATATATATATATATATATATATATATATATATATATATATATATATATATATATATATATATATATATATATAATTTATGGTGCATATATGCAGTAGAATGTTTTTTTTTAGTTTTTGGTTTGATTTTATCGTGGTGATGCAGAGTCTGTGACTTGATTTAGAGTTTTTTTTTTTTAACAGCTTAGCAGGCTGATGGTGGTGGGTAAAAAGCTGTTGCAGAATCTGCTGTACCTCTTCCCAGAGGACAGCAGGGAGTCCATGGTTGGGGTGTGAGGGATAATTGATGATGTTACGGGCTCGGGACTTGCAGCACTGGGATGAAATGTCTTTAATGGAGGGAAGAGGAGCCCTGATGATGCTCTCTCTGCTGTTCCTACCACTCTTCTCACATTCTTACATTCTGAGACGCTGCAGCCTCCACACCACACAGTGAGACAGCTGGTCAGAACGCTCTCTATGGTGCTTCTGTAGAAGGTGGTGAGGATGGGTGGGGGCAGGTGGGAAGAGTGCCCCCACCCATATATCTTCTATAAGAAAGCCTATGACACAATGCCCAATACATGGTTACTGGAGTGCCTGGAAATGTACAAGATCAACAGGACTCTAATAGCCTTCATCAAGAACTCAATGAAGCTGTGGAAAACAAGTCTGGAAGCCAATGCAAAGCCAATCTCACAAGTCACCATCAAGTGCGGCATATACCAAGGCGATGCACTATCCCCGCTGCTGTTCTGCATAGGCCTGAACCCCGTCAGCCAGATCATCACAAAGACTGGCTATGGATACCAATTCCGAAGCGGAACAATCATCAGTCACCTCCTCTACATGGATGACATCAAGCTGTATGCCAGGTGTGAGCGAGACATTGACTCACTGATCCACACTGCCAGGATCTACAGCAACCACATTGGGATGTCATTCGGACTGGACAAGTGCGGTCGCATGGTCTCAAAGAGAGGGAAGATGATCAGAACCGAGGGGGTTGAACTACCAGAAGGCCACATTACAGATGTTCAGGACAGCTACAAATACCTTGGGGTGCCTCAGGCTAACGGAAACCAAGAGGAGATAGCAAGAAAGACTGCCACAGCTAAATACCTACAGAGAGTAAGGCAGGTCCTGAAAAGTTAGCTGAATGGGAAAAACAAGATCCAAGCCATCAACACATATGCCCTGCCAGTCATCAGACACCCCGCTGGTATAATAAACTGGCCAAAGGAGGAGATAGAGGCTACTGACATCAAGATGAAAAAACTCCTCACAATGCATGGAGGGTTTCACCCCAAATCCAGCACTCTGAGACTGTATACCAAGTGTAGCGAGGGAGGCCGAGGGCTAGTGAGTGTCAAGACCACTGTCCAGGATGAAACAACTAAGATCCAGGAGTACATCAGAAAGATGGCCCCCAAAGACAAATGGCTTGGTGAATACCTCAGGCAGGAGAAAACCGAAAGTGAGGACAAGAAAGAGGAAGGAGAACCATCATATAGGGAAAAGCCGCTGCACGGCGTATACCACAGACAAATAGAAGAAGTGGCTGAGATCAAAAAATCCTACCAGTTGCTGGAAAAGGCTGGACTGAAGGACAGCACAGAGGCACTAATCATGGCAGCACAAGAACAGGCACTCAGTACAAGATCAATAGAGGCTGGAGTCTACCACACCAGGCAGGACCCCCGATGCAGATTGTGCAAAGATGCCTCTGAAACAATACAGCACATAACAGCAGGGGGTAAAATGCAGGCAGGAAGTGCATACATGGAACGCCATAACCAGGTAGCTGTCACAGTGTACAGGAACATCTGCCATGAGTATGGGCTGGAAGTCCCAAGGTCAAAATGGAACACACCTCCTAAGGTAGTTGAGAATGACCGAGCTAAGATCCTATGGGACTTCAAGATCCAAACTGACAAACAGGTGATGTCTAACCAACCAGACATCGTGTTGATCGACAAACAGCAGAAGAAGGCAGTAGTGATAGATGTGGCAAACCCAAGCGACAACAACATCAAGAAGAAGGAACACGAGAAGCTTGAGAAATACCAAGGGCTGAAAGAGGAGCTAGAAAAGATGTTTTCTAGAAGAGTGCAGTCCTAGGAACAGCTAAGATACTGCGCAGAATCCTCAAACTCCCAAGTCTCTGGTAGAGGACCCGAGCTTGAGGATGACACATACCACCCCACGAGGGGTGAGAAAATAGTTATATATAACCTGTGAAACATATTCCCACAGAATAAAAATGTAATTGCAGCCAAATGCTAGCAACATCAGCATCTTGAGTTTGTGAGAGTAGGGAGTACCAAGATGGTGGCAACTGACCTCATTTTTTCAGCCTATCGGCTATCCAGTGAATAAATAGAGATCAGTTGTTTACCCCGCATTCAGATAAAATACACCACAGTGCCTCCCGCTGGGTGAGGACTTTGCTGTTCTGGAGAAGATCCTGACCCTGGTATCAGTGGGGGTTACAGCCTCAGACCAGGGTTCCCTATTCCAGCAGATTCTTAACTTTTGAGAAGAAGTTAATAGCAGCTGACAGAGGTTATATGATCAGATGTGTCAGCAGACCTTTTAATATTCATTGCAGCAGGAGGCTGTTGTTTTATCTCCTTA